GAATCCAGATTCCGTTGGGATACAAGGCCACCGCAAACTCTTTGAACCACGACTCTAGGCAAGAGGTCCGAAATGGTGGCAGTGGCGAGTCGAATTAGGGCTGCCAAGCTTGCGCTCACTGGAACATGGCCGAGGAGCTTGGTGGCAGTAGTGCAGCGCTGGTCGCCTGTCCAGCGTCCGTGGTCAGCAATTGTAGGCGTCGATTGTCACCCTGCTGGCGTCGATTGTCATTCAGGCATCACTTTCCTTCGCTCCTGCGGTGTAAGCCTACAAGTATATATCCGCATATTTCGTGAAATATATATACTTAATGATGCGATGAAAATCAGTTTAAGAAAATTAAGCACGACGACTTGCACAGTAATAAAATGGATCAGGCTTCGTTCGGCTACGCAGGGTTATGCGAGCGAAAGCCGGTTAACTTGAGTATGCTTGATTGATTGATTTGTGGGGTTTAACGTCCTAAAACCACGATATGATTATGAGAGACACCGTCGTGGAGGGCTCCGGAAATTTTGACCACCTGGGGTTCTTTAACGTGCACCCAAATCTGAGCACACGGGCCTACAACATTTCCGCCTCCATCGGAAATGCAGCCGCCGCAGCCGGGATTACTTGAGTATGTTTGTTTATCCTAGTAGCCGAAGCGCAGTTCACCAATCGGATGATATGACTAGTCGAACGTGTAGTCCTGCATGTATTCACTATCTGCGTTTCATCGGTTTCCGAATCCGTCACCGCATTCGTCACGGAAAACACCGAACCCGTAAACTATCAACAGACGCTCTCATTCGCGTCTTCCTTTGCTGGCAGATGTTCGCGTTCCTGCACGTTAAGTTAACCACCTTGGTCGCTGAGGAAAGACATTTGAAGAGGTAGACCGACGAGTGGATGAACGCGTTCCCTGTAGACTCTTGTAGTCTTGCACAGTTGCGACACAACTAAATTTTGTGCGGCTTATCATGGGGGTATTCATACTTCCCTTCAATGGCACGCGGAACAACACCGAAACTCGCTCAACAATGGTAAAAAGAATTTCGCTTTAATGATATATAATGCGGCACATTTACTGTTCTGGTTCGTCCGTCCTTCTCTTTGTTTGTCGGTCCTGAACGGTGCAGTGTATGTGCACAAAGCAAGTCGGTTTGTTGCCCATAACTCAAATATGCCCTGTGGGAGATTGGTGCTGCGTCGTTAATTTATCGTCCTTTTGTTTCGTAACCACCAACAAAGATGATTTGATATCGTGAACTCAGTTTTTATTCAGTGCTTGTAGACAAATTGTGTATGGACTCCGTATATGTGGTAAATGCCCTGCATGACTTTCCGCCCGATTGCTTTATTGTAGGCCCTGTTCGAGGACACAAGCTTCTAGTAGAGGAGGCGGGACGGTTTGAAGAAATTAAGGACAGGTGCTGTTTGGATTACGTTTCTAATAAAATCTGAGTTGTAAAAACTAGGTTTGTCCCTTACTGCCCCCTTTGCTTTTCTGCTAACCTAATAAACAGGTTTGGGATCGGAGGCGGAGACTATTTTCTGGTAATGCTTACAGCTTGTAAGGTTTTTTAAGCAGTCCATTGTAGAGATTTGTTTGCATGGAACTAAACTTGCTGCAGAAAGTAATATTACGGACAAAAGCAATATTTAGGGTATGAGAAACAGGCTAGCGGACTTATTTAGTTTACAGAGAACATGGCAAGCTACCCTGTTGTTTGATCTGCCTTCACTGTCGTTATGGGCACCGTCATATACTACAGCACGGTCTCGAAACTTGCACTAGAAGGCCTGTGAGGTGTCTGTAGTGATAAGGTGAATTTGCTTCAGGAATGCCGCGCAGACATTGAAGTCCTTTCAGAGTGACATCGAGGTTCCCTAATGAACAATAAGTAATTTGTACACTGTCTGCCATATATATTATCGTGTATTGATTGACGTTTTAAGGTCAGAAAGGGGATTTGCTGTTAGATAGAGCCTATACCTCAATTCCATCAGCCCGCGTACCAACAACGAATTGACCCCCCCCCCCCCCCCTTATTATCACCGACAGTGCTAAGTCCGAGAAAGTGCGCCATAAAAATGTGTGTCCTTCTACTCTTCCGTGTAATATCATGTATGGGCAGCGGGAGCAAAAGCTCCAACCAAAGAACCATGGTGTGCCTGTTGCTAACCTCCGCAAGGGAGTCAGGCCAGATGTTTTTCGTTTCGTATGCAGGTATTTGCTCTCTGCTAATGTGAACTATGGACATATTGCAAAATAAAAGTTTGACGTATCTTACCAAAACACTGTATTTGGCAGGCAACTGCCGCCAAAATATGCCACAAATCTTGCCAGAAAATCAATGTGTGTGTTTTTAACCCAGCGACACAAGCCCGCTTCTGTGTGGTGACGTTCGACTGTCGTTCATTGTTAACCGAGATTGTGGCTCACTGTAGATCCTGCTATTTTCTTCTATGCTGGGATGGCTCTACGCTCTCCCGTAGTAGAGTACCAAGTGCTCTAAATTGTTAAACACATTGTCCGAACTCGGCCACAATGGTGACCGTGCACTGTCATAATCGATTGCGGCACCGCATTCCCGCTGGTTCGCGTCGGTTGTGCTGTGTGCTCTGTAGCATTTTGTTTATTCTCGTTGCTATCTTGAAACGACCACAAGTTTCGTACAAAGGGAGTATCGATCGTCGCTAAATCGTGGCTCATGTGTGTAGTTATCGCCAGGTGACCAGGCTGGCTAACACAACATCAGTCAAGTAAGTTTTGGGTTTTGCTTCGTGTATTGTGAAGGCTCAAGCTGAAACAAACAATGCGTACAGTCAGGTCCAAACACACCAAGTCGCGCATACATATAGGAAGCTTTGAGCGTGTATGTAGTGACTGTGAAAGCTGAGAAATACATGCACAAAACTGAACACGGAGAGCGCCGAGCGTATACGTTAAACGCAGCGCCTCCAAAATACCATTCGCCGATTTTCTTGCGCAGAACATGAAATTAATTGTTCACTCTCTTCACACGCAAGACTATCGTCTTTCGACGACATTTGCAGATACATGTAGATACGGGCCAATTTTTTTATTGATTTTGATAGCGGATGTGCAGCAAAATAAGTGGAGAAAGCATAAAAATATCAAAAATGGGTTTTTTATTAATCGTCGTCAGACGTTTCCGTAGCATGCTCTTTTTTTTTAAGTGAGCATGATTATATCTCTTTATTGAAAAGTTCTATTAATATAAGCTTTAGCAGTTTTCTAAATAAGCATGCATGTTGAGAAAATGATGAGAATTTTCCGCCGCTCTGCCATAGGCGCTTTACGAAATAAAGGCTTTGCAGACTAGGCAGAAAAACGTTTTTTAGGTCAAATTTGAGAATTTTTATTCAAAAATCTACACTACGCAGACAATCGAAATACAAATGAACGTAAGTGCCAGTACGCTCATATGTAAATTTGAGGCACGTAGCTTTAATGTATTTTGTGTAATTCATCGCGAAATTCGAAAAAAAAAAAGCAGCAGAGCAGGTAAGCGTGGCCCTCCACATCTCCATCATCAATATTGATTTACTATGCCTCAAAAAACTTTTTTACAGCAAAACCACTTGCGGATCTCTTCTTTCCACTGATCAGGCAACAATATATAAAATTTTTAAAGAAATATAAAATAAATATAAAAGGTATACTAGCCATGCTTTGTTCGATCTTACGTGAAATCACCCAGGGATTAAAACAGTTGAACTTTTGATTTGATTGATATGTGGGGTTTAACGTCCCAAAACCAGCATATGATTATGAGAGACGCCGTAGTGGAGGGCTCCGGGAATTTCGACCACATGGGGTTCTTTAACGTGCGTCCAAATCGGAACAATTAAACTTTTAACCACTGGAAATAGCCGGTTTAGTTGAATGGGCGAATTAAAGTTCTTCCTATGATTAGTTTATAGCTACTTTACAATTTTCGAAAGGTAGCCGCTGGTAATCACCACGGAGCGATGAAATCTAGCTGATTTAGCTGGTGAAACCAAAACCGGTGCACCAAACAGCTCACCTGCCATTCAGTTCGAAAACACCCTCGATGATAAGTTAATGGCTTTAAATTTTGTAGAAAGTTAGAAGTTCAAATTGCAGGGAATTCAAGGAATATTTCGATTCTCCCATGACTACCAATGATTAGCGGTCACAGTGCACCATCATCTGCTGTAATCGGTTCTGGCGCACGCACCCCCCTAGCATAGCCCTTGAGATTTGTTTCTGATATTTACGTGGAGCGATTTCTAGTTCATTATTGCTGTTAGACTTGAAGCCAACAATGTGAAGTGTACTAACAGTATAAGCATTATTAAAGCCATGCTTTCGTTGTGCGGCAGTGGAGGGGCTAGTCAAGATTTCAAAAGTCACGATTACGTCAGACTCACGTAATTATAGTGTGCGTGCATGGGGGCGGAAATCAGTATTGTTGAGCAGGAAAATAAGCTGGGAGTTTATTGAACGTATGTAGGAAAAAATTCTCGAAATAGAGAATTTTCATGTTTCTGAATGGGAATTCTCCAGTGTAGTACGGAACATCAATGCGCGGAGGCCGCATTCTTCATGAAGGCGGAAATGTTTTAATGCTTGGAACCCGTGTACTTGTGGTCAGAATTTCTGGAGCCTTCCCTACGACGTCCTTCATAATCATATCGTGATTTTGGGACGTTGAACCACAACAATTTTCATATTACTAACTGTTTGAGTAGCGCATACACTCATTATGCATGCCCCCCCCCCCCCCCCCCCCCGCCCCTCATTGGGGGTGGCTGCCTTCCGTAGTCACTTGAATGGGTGGGGGGCGTAAAGACTGTCCCATACTTTCAGAGTAAGTGGTGAAGCTCTGCTATGAACATTTATATCCAGCGTACACCTATGCATACAACGGGAAGCAAATTGAATTCTTGGCGCCTGTTTTGTCGATGCCCTCGTGGGGCCATCTGACGCGCACTTTCTGAACTCGTAAGTCACGCACGCCGTTGTCGGTTGTTTTATATCGCACGGTTGCAATGGCCGCTGTTCGGTGAAGGCTACGTACTACACTTATGGTGCTCTATGTTAAGATGATAATGTGTCATACTGAGTTACTCGTGTCGCTAGTAATTGGTAAGTACGTAATGATCACGCAGTACAATATTACCTAGTTAATTTAGCGCAACGGTACCGTGTAGATATTTTCTGAATCATTTGCTCTCGTAGGTGTGCTTCTCTGCGTGCCGGTCGTCTATGGGAGTAAAGTTTTAGAATTGAGTGACAGGTAAGTACACCTCTTTTATTTATGTATGTTGTTTTGGGTGTTGGCGGGAAACGTAGCGAAAGTATGAAATGCAATGTGTGATAGTCGTTCATCGCTTACTGCTACAAATCATTGTTCACGGAAAAGCGCTCTCATTTCTGAGTTATTGGGCCCGTTTTTCCTGGTTGGACGCTCGCCTTCAGGCGGCGATGGGAAAAGAAATCCACTGATTATATTATATGCTGTTTGTTTCGTCAGGTTTCTCGACGTACGGCACGAAGGCTCGTGGCTTGTCAAGGTAATTTCGTTTTTATTTGAGTAGTTGATCGATGTTTGTTTACAGCTGGCATGTGTGTTTTTCGTTGCTGACTTTTTGTTTCTCCGCCCAGTTTTATGCACCATGGTGTGGTCACTGCAAAATGCTGGAACCCATTTGGAGCCAGGTTGCTCAAAGCCTTGCAGATACGGACATTCGTGTGAGCCGCGTAGACTGCACGCGGTTTACCTCAGTAGCCATGGAGTACAGCGTCAAAGGTTTTCCGACCGTGCTCTTGTGAGTTTCTTTCATTATGTCATGTTTTACGATTAAAAGCGCGTATTAGAGTTGAGGTTATGCGTCTGCGCGTTGCTGCTTGTTTATCCTCATAGTTTCAAATAGAAAAAAAAAAGCTGTATAGCGGTGCATTGGTGGTTGCCTCGTCCCAACATGCCCTTTCAGCTACTAACTTGTTGCTTAAAAAAAGAAAAGAAACAAGATTAATATATGTGAGAAACAACCCTGTCGAGTGGTACAATAAATGATAGTGCAAACAGTGCACATGTGCAAGTTTCTTTTGTTGTATAATTGTCACTATGTGTGGTACCTAAAAAGGAAAAAAAAAAAAGACATCTGGACATCCTGAGCTGCTGTTTTGATGGAAGCCGCTTCTTTATAATCTGGGCACTGACGACACCTTGTGTGGTCATGAGAAGTACAAAGGGAACACTGGAACTGAACCTTTACCTCCGATATAAAGGAAAAAAGAATTCTTGAATATACTTGTTTTGCGGAGAGGCCAGAATGACTTTGTGGCTTTGTGCTGCGCATAATATGGATAACAGGTGTTTCTTGCCTAAGAGGTTTCAGTGCTTTGTAGATTTTGAGTGAAGTTATTTGGCTAAAAAGAGGGCAAAAAATTATTGGCTAACTATCTACACATATTTTCTGCAAACATTCTTATAATTTGAGAATTTTATTGCATTATAATTTTGCCTTTTACATGCCAGATATACCTCCACACAAATGTTTCTTACAGTGCTGCTGTCTAATATCCCTGTCACATGGCAAATTTAACCTCATTTATCATGAGTGTCATTTTTAATGTAATTTATCAGCTATCACACGAGGAAACTAAGGCTATTTGATGAAAGTGACATTTTCTATCGAAAGAGTTCATGAAGCGCGTTCACATTCAATTTTGATCCAACACGTAGGCTCGACGCTAGGGATTTTTGAAGGGGGGTTGACAATCTTAAAATAGTAAAGAATTGTAAAAGAAATGTTGATTTGCGGAAACCACGAAAAGGGTATTTGTAGAGCAGATGATGCTCTGGAAAAATGTTATAGTAAAATACCCTTTCTTCTTCCCGCAGGCTCAACAGGTTAAATCAAAACTGTTTTTAAATTTTGAAAGGCAATTTTCTTGGCTTTGTTAATTTTGTAAAGTGAATCTGCCTTATGAAAGTTTTGAGGAAGTTTCTGTGGACATATTTAAACAAACTTAGTATCATTTTTTTGTAGAGCACTTGGACTACAGTCTAAAGCTTTTATTTCTTTCTAAACCTTGATATAATTGTGAATATTTTATAAATATCACCTAATTTCTAGAAGATAAGTTTTACCTTCCAAGTTTCACAATTTTTTCTGATAAAACAAATAAACAGCTGTTTTGATATCTAGGTTGCTTTAGCCTGTAGGCTGGACCATTTATAAGAACCACGTAGTTGTGAAAACTGACCTTTTGTATTGTAAGTTACCATAATGACCCATAAAAAGCTACCTAATTACTTTGTGGAAATTTGTTATTTGTTCTTTTCTAAATCGCATATTTGAAATCTGTTTGCAGATTTGAAATCTCCATTCAATGGTACATATGGATAGGAATTATCATTCAGATAAGATTATAAGTAAAACTCTTTTGAAGACCCTCATCCGCCATTAAAGAGATGGCTATTGGTTTATGTTTATATAACTTCTATAGTTTGCAAATAACTTATCCTTTACTAGGTTTGCTAATTGCTCATTCAATGACAATATAGTATGCATGGAAGTGTCTAAAAGAAAGGTATTCTCAACTACAGTAACTGGAGGGCAGCCATGTTTGATTTGTGCTCGGTTGTCATTGTTCTCTGGACGAAGGGTGTTGGTTGGCAAATTAAATGTGTTTAGGTGGTCATAGTGGTGACTACGTGAATTAGCTGCTGCCTACCCATTTCTGTTGTGAGAGTGTCAGGTCCGTGTTCACAAACTAACCTCATATTGCATTTCTTTTATCGGTTGTGGGCTTTTAGTGAGCTTCATAAACAATGTAGGCCAGTACTCACAAACCAATCTTATAGTCATCTTTTACCCTGTTACAATTTTTGTGCCCGAAACCCCTTCAGACGCTATGTACACACTTCTGTGCACCACTCGTTTTCGCTATTAGCATCAAGTAGAGGCTAAGAAAGAGCAAGATATATCATACATTAGATGAATTGACCCTCCTGCATTATTACTTTTTCTTCATTTAACCTCATTTTTCAGTCTACTGATACATATGATCACTTTTCTGAAGGTGCTACTACGTTTGACGAGTCGTGCGACGTGCCGCTTTCTGCAAGCAGTGTGAAAAGCAGGAATTTTCCTTGCTCACAATTGACATAACCAAAAATGAATCTGCACTATATTTTTAGGCTGAGATTACATTCTATTTATGCCAAAAGTAAGCATCAATGACTTCAGGATAAAGAGATATTTAACTATAACTTAATTAGAATGAGTTACTATGACACACATAAATTCAACAATTATCTCAGTAGTTTTGTTGTGATAGAATATTGAGTACCTTGAAGTAACATTGTAGTGATTTGACACGTTTACAGACATGTTTTAATAGTTGGCGTCTGAAAGGGATAAAATGCACATAAAGAGTCCAGAACCTTGAGGAAAACATGGTTAGGGAGAAGATTGGCTTGTAAATATAGACCCGAGTCATGCTCCATTGATTTGTCTTTTCGTCCGCCATGCAGGTTTTCGATTGCCTCTTGAGTTGACAAGGAGCTTGACTTCGTCTACATCATGCAGCTGTGGTAAAATGTATAAAGAGACTGTTTTTTTTATTAATCAAAAAATTTTTTTAGGATGCACGCATGTCGTATGCAAGTTAATGATGCAGTTTTATTTCTCTCAAAGCCTCAGCTCAGGAGGGCCAAGCTGAGGTATATTATATTAAAATGATAGTTATTTGCATTGTCTGACATCAGGCAGGTAAAACAGCATTAAGTTCACCGAATGTCATTTGTTGTAAATGATGTTAAATTTGCCATGTGGCAGGGGTATAACAAGTTGTGTGAAGCTTCCTCCCAATGCAAGTTTGAAATTTTCTTGAGCTTAAGTTCAAGAGTATGAACCTAAGTGAGTTTCTGAGTGTGGTTTACTGGAACAACTTAGACTTGTCCTTAGCCAAAGTAATACAAGGCATGAAAACGTGTGCAATTTGGCCTTTGTAACTACTAATATGTTCACTTGTTAAGTGACATGCTGAAGAGCTGATTTATATGAAGGCTTTCTGGAAGGTAGAATGTCTATTTTTTAGATTTTTTAATGATATATAATTTCATAATGCCACATCTCTACATCATAACAGTTCTATTTTAATTTTAAATGTTAAAAGGGCCCTGCAACACTTTTTGAGCATGGTCAGAAAACACTGCCGATCGGTAGTAAAAACTCCCGAGAACACGCAAGCCAAATAATATAGCGCAGCACGCTGCCTGGTTCTGAGCATGGTCAGAAAACACTGAGGATCAGTAGTAAAGGCTCCCAAGAACACGTGAGCCAAATAATATAGCGCGGCATGCTGCCTGGAATTCACAATAAATTATCAAAGTAGGTTAAAAATTGCTTTTTCTCGACAAACGACACAAGACCTTCAACTATCACTCGTAGAAGGCCATCAGCCATTGGCTGATTTGAACGTGGCACTCTCGGTCGTTACAAGGATCTCCGTGGGAGGCTGCAATTTATCCATGCAAGATCGCACTGAGAAAGCCGCCTATTCAAAGAAAAAAAAAGAAAAAAAGTGCGCAAGGTCACGAGACGCATCTGACGTATTTTATTCGCTCCTTCCATCCTCTCTGCATATCTTCCAGCGCTTTTGTCGGGACAAGAGAACACAATTTCAGCCTGTGACAAATCTTTGTAACTGTGCTCGTAGTGGACAGATTCTTGAAATTTTTGCGGCATTGAATGCGTGAGGTAATAAGCTTTTTTAGTGAATTCATTTCATGGTTACTTGAAAATGTATTTCAGATTTCCTTTAAGTGTTTTAATTTCGCAGATTTTATGGTCAGCTTTTTAGAATTTCACAGTTATACTTATATGTGTGCTAAGTTTTCTTGGGCATTTGCTCTGCACTTTTCTCTTCAGTATCAAAGGGGACAAGACTGTTGAATACAAGGGAGATCGTAACAGGGAGGAGCTTGCCGAGTTTGGACGCAGAATGGATGGGTTAGTTTTGCTGTTTTTCTCATAGCTATATGTTACTTTATGAGGCTCTAATGGCCTCATCTTCATCTTATAACATGTCACTTGGTAATTACAAAGACCAAAGGAACAAAAGCCATGCACAAGGTTCCCTTGGTCTTTGTCTATATCTGGTAACACATAATAAGATGAATGAAGTTGTACCCACTAGCCCCTGTAGCAGCCTTATTAGCATTAATGACCACCTGGTAGTTAATTGAATCAGTTGTCGCTGTCAGTTTCTGTGCTCGTTTTCTGGATATCAGTTTTGTCTATATTAGCTCTAGAGCTTTTGTTTGTGTACTGATCTTGCTATTTGTATTGTAGTTTAAGATCTAAACAGGTTCAATATCTTAGTTATTGGCATTGACTGCTCATAGTGATATGGCATGGTTATGCCAGAACAATGAAGCTAACTGGGATTTAATATTTTTTCTTGTTTTTAAAAGTGTATATTTCAAAGAAAAAAAGGCACCTGTCTGAAGGTAGTACACTCTGTATCAAGCTGATTATGTTTTGCCATATTTTTATTATGGCATGCAAAAGTATGAGCTACACTTCTGTGGAACGTCATAATATATTTCATTAAAATGAAAAGAAGCAGGTGGTTTTGAGAACAATGAATGATTGTTGTCTTCACTAATTATATAAATGTACATTCGATCTCAATCGAGCATTCATGGTCAGGTTGAATCGTGGTAAAATTGCATAGTGTGACACTTCTGTTAGAAGAGTTAGAGAAATTCTAATGAGTAAGACATATTACAGCTTGTGTAATAACTGCCACTGGGTCTACTTACGAAGTTTCACCGACTAATTTTTTTAATGATAGCATTAATTTAACTGTACAGTTTGCTCAATTTAGAACTAGTATATGGTCTTCTACCAAAATCATTTATTTTTTCCTGCTAAAAAGCTTGTTATCATTTAGTCCTTAATATGCTTCAGGGCAATGCAAAGTGAATTGCACTGTGGTGGCATTCAAAAAATGTCTGCAGGGTGCCATCATGTAATCTGATAGGCATTAATCATTTGCACTTGTCCACTATGTTGCCTCATATATGTGCTCTATAGTTGTGAATGTTTTAACAATAGTAAATTAGTGTGGAATACAGTGGACCATCAGCCATAATTTGTTCATATTAAGTCAGCATAGTTAACATGTCTTTGTCCTGTGGATAAATGCTCAAGAAATGTTCACTAGAAAAAGCAGTACATTTCATTCAACATTCTGACAATATTATACTAGAATTGGGCCAGGCACAGAGCATGATTTTATGCTTTGAAAGCTTGGGAGCTATTCTCAGAACTGTCTATTTAGCGGGCTGTCCCTTTTCATGGCTACTGGTAGGCTGGAGCCCAGTGAGGAGTGCGTCCTCTGTTTCGGATTCTTCTTCATTAATGTCATTTTGATGTCACAGAGCTTTCAAAACTCTCAACAAACATGAGAGAAAGGAATGTGCATCAACAAAGCGAATGCAGCCTTGCAATATCTGCTTTGAACAGTGCTAATCACGGAGCTATGGCATTAAAGATATGTGACACCCAATTCTCAATCATAATCCATATTACATGAGTTAACTTTGGTGTATTCGCAAACAAGCTGACGAAATTTTAGTGCATTTGGTTGAGCACTTGATTTATAATTCAATATTTTTATAAAGATGCAAGCGGCCTTAGGATCGGGCAACACTGATGCACTTGCGAGCCATTATGCTTGCTGTGTGAGCTTCTGCATCTAGCAAACGATGTTGTTCGCTGGTCAGCTGCTCATGCATTCGAGCCATTTCAGCTTTCTTTAGTGGTGGCATTAAAATTGAACAATTTGCAGTGGCTGAAACTGAAAGACGATGGCTCCGGTTTATGCAGCTCATGGCATCACTGATGCCAAGGCGAAATCGCGGTTGCCATCTGTGCACGGGGTTTACGGCTTGTGAATTCGAGGGAAGATTTTGTGCTGAAATATTCTTGTATAGTGCATTTTTCATTAAGAGGGTTTATAGACATAATAAACTCTCTAAATTCAAATTGTTGGGTAACCATGTCATGGATGGCCTCTTTCACTCTGATTATTTGATTGCATCAGCACTTGAATTAGGTTTAATGTGAGCTCTTGTTTAACGTGCCTGTGAAGGTTGGTATGCATTCCCTGTACTATTTAGAAGCGTTTGGGATATGCTCATGTGCAGGGACAGACTTGTAAGTGTGACTGTACACTTTCTCTTAATGCTTGAAGTGTGCTGTGCAGGTGCGGTGCGTTGATGTGTTGAAGAGAGTGATGACATCATAGCTAGCCACTTTCTTGAGTAACGGAATGCACTCTGCCAAAATGGTCATTTTTATTCGACAGACAGTTGAAGAATAGCTTCCCTGTTGGATTTCAGTTCTTCAACTGTCATGTGCCCTCTAAGTCACAAGTTACAAATTAAGTTTTTTGTACTTATAGTGTAAATGACTAGCTTTGGACATGATGTTACTAGTATTTGAATCTAGGCCTGTAATGTTTTATCTTTCAGCTTCTATGTTTCATAATTAGAGATTCTACTAGGAGAAGCATCTGGAATGTTAGGGAGATTTAATAAGTGTTAATTTCCAACTGTTGGTACTGGTTGTTTCACAGCACATGTATTAGCTGGGAACAGTTGAAGCCTTTAAAGAGTAACTTTGATTTTGATATAACATTTGCTTCAATAAGCAGAGGATTTCCAAGAAAACTGTTGCTTCCTTGAATTTGTGACTTGCTGACTTAGCATGACACTTAAATTTTGTCTACAATATTTTGTTGGGAACTATGTTCAGCGTGCTAGCTTTCTACATCTGATCGAGGGGGAAGAGTGTAAGGTAGTGTTAAGGGCATTATAAAATTTTTTTCCTAAAGTTAATTCCTCTTTGTTTGCTTTGTTGTGTAGGCCACCAGTTCATCATCTGACATCCTGTGATGACTTGAAGGTAATGCGGGATCGGCACAAAGTCTTCTTTATCTACAGTGATGGAGAAAAAGGAAGTGGTGACACCAGCACTCTAAAGGTATGTTGATATTCTTGAACTCACAGATTGAATTGAAATCAAGACCAGATCTGTTATTCATCGTATGATTTTATAATTAGCAAGTGCCAGGTGTCATGGGCAAGGGTCTAGGATTTCTAATGTGTGTTTTAGATCAGTTTTAAGTTGCAGAGTTATGTCATTTGATATAAGATGTTATGAATGATTATTAACTGTGTTACTTTTCTGCCTTCTATTCCAAACTGGTGTTGTGTAAAGAGAAAATTGGTAACAACTTTCAGAGAAGTACGAAGCACAGCAACAGAATTTTTCTACGCCGCACTTTTGCGAAGAATAATTAAGAGGGCGAACAGTCGTAGCACTTCTGTGTACAATAAGGGGGGAGCGGGTCTCCTTGTGAGCTGTGCATTGTGGTGCAGCGTGTATAATGAAGTAAACTGAGTGAATTAGATGGTGGTGTTTATTTCAGTCAGAATGGCCATCACGAAATGACTATTTTGCTTAATGTTTAACCACTTTCTTTTTTTAGTAGCCTCTTCATGCATTGCATCCTAGCCAAGCATACTGGATATACTGTGCCTACGCAGTAATCTTATTTAGAACAAGAACTGTTTTTGGGCTGCTAACTGTTAGGCAACTCTTCAAGGATTTTTTTTTCACTCTGTGTTTGGTTCAAGCTTGTGTTGTTCGAGTACTATTATTATCAGCTCATCATAGAGTTTTTTATTTACTACACTTTGTGAGCTTCACATGAGGAGTGATCCGTGATAGTATTACAACCTCATTATAACGAAGCAGGTTATAATGAACTAATGGATATAACAAAGCAATTGTAATTCCTCATGAAATTCCCATAGACGCCCATGTATTTAAAACCTCGTTTTAACAAAGCAAAAATTTCCCTACAATGTATATAACGAACTATTCCTTGTCCACAATGAGAATTTACCGATCATTTTGGTATATGTCAATTCTCAAATGTCTTATAGCGTGCGACGGTTTACATCTCATCACGGCTGCGGTAATTCAAAACTCACGCCTTGCGCTTCCCCGGAGCCGCTTGCGAACACGCGTGTGGGAGCGAGTCTCCCCGCTTCCCTTCTCCCCTGGAACTAATAGACTTGCCCGCGCAGCAACTCGCGCGAGCGTGCACGTCAGCCGGCCTCCCCTCTCCTGTAGAACTCGTTGACCCACCCGCGCATCCGACCTCTTTCTCCCGTTCAGCTCCGTGCTGGGGCCTCGTGCGCCGGCTGGGCGGCGGAGATGGTGGCTTTTAAAGACGATAGTTTTTCTTGGGGACCTTCGACGCAAAAATTTTGGTTCATTTGTCTGTCTGTCTGTACATTTGTCTGTTTGTCCACTCTTAACGGCCTCTGGTACTTGAAATGGCTGACCTCATCCGCAGCGCCCACCAATGTTGCTCAAGGTTTAGCGTTCATAGTTGTGCAGTTGTCGTATAATAAGCAATTATTGCGCAAGTCTGGGGCATCATAACAACACGTATATATTCTGCATGTGCATCTTTTACTAGAAAATGCATGCATAAGTAACTTTAAGGATCGTAGCGCTTATCACGCTGCGCTGACCACTCAACGCTTGCACGAAAAGGTGAGTGTTTCCAACACTTTGCTAAAACGCGATGGTGGTGGTACCTACCCGTCGCCTTGCGTTCCTCACCTTATCACGTCTGAGACGGGCGTGCACACCCATCTCGGAACACGTGCTTTGTTTTGCAAGAAGACTGCCAGGTGGTGCTCATGTCTCATGTGTGACGTGACTTAATGCACTCGTTCGCCTTCGCTGCACGCTCGAGGCACTCTAACGCAGCGCCTTCATAATACCATTCACCGATTTTCTTGCGCAGAACATCAAATTAATTGTTCAGTCTCTTCACACGCAAGACTATAGTCTTTCGACGACATTTGCAGATTACATGCGGATACGAGGCCTATTTTTTCTGTTGTCGTTCGCTGTGGAAGAGCAACACCACCTCTATCAGTTTCCACCGCTAGACACGAGATAAACAACGTCAGTGGCAAACGTAAGCGTAACAATATAACAATCGAGCACAAGTCGGCAATGTTGAAAGCCCTTAAGTCTGGCATCAAGAAAAAAAAAAGTGGCCGAAGATTTCGGCAATGTGTGGGTGTCGCGAGCGACCAGGTCGAGATGTTGTGGGACGCTCTCTTTGATGCCGGGGTTGTGCCTGACTGCAACACTTTCTGCATGTACGTCGGTGCCGATGCTGACGCAGTGACAATCGAAGAGTTGTCAGATGTGGAAATTGTGCCTGCGGCGACGGGCGTGCTATGAGACATTGACGAATGTGTCGACACCCCGGAGCCAAATGTTGGCGAACCCGATGTACCGACGCCCGCGCAAGCGCTGTATGTGACAGACCCGCTGTGCCGCTTCTTTGGTGCATACAATGACGGCGAGGACGAACTTGAAATACCGTAATTACTCGAATCTAATGCGCACCTTTTTTCCGGTTAAGCGAGTTCATAAATCGCATGCGCGTTAGAATCGAGTACGAAAAAAAAAAATAAATACGGTCATTCTATTGCCATCGGCATTTCCAAAATGGCCGCCCCATATATGCGTCGGCCATTTCTGCCTATGTGTTTCCCATGTGCGGCACTTCGTACGTGTGCTGAGGAGTTTGTCATATTGTAGTGCATTAGCATCGACGGCATGGAAGGGTGAACTCCAAAAACTCGAGTGCACCACGATGCCGTTTTTAAAAGAAAAGTCTTCGCGTGTGCAGAAACGGACGGAAATCGGGCCACATCGCGGTCGTTCGGAGTTCCCAAAACGTGCGTGCAGGACTGGCGGAAACAAAAGCAGAAGATTGTCAACAGCAAAGCTTCACGCAAAAGCTTCAGTGGACCACAGTAAGGTCGGTTTCCGCAAATTGAAGAGCCGCTCGGCGAGTATGTACTTGAGCAGCGAGCGGCACAGCGGCCCGTGATGACAGAACTGCTCCAAGTGCGGGCCATGCAATTAGCCTTAGAAAAAGGTCTAATGCGGAGCCAGTTTAAAGCGAGCAGGTGCTGGCTAACTAACTTTATGAAGAGGAAAGGGTTTTCCCTCCGAAGTTGAACGGGCATATGCGAAAAGTTTTGCAGAGGAGTACGATGAAAAGCTTCACAGTTTTCAGAGGTTCGTCCTAAACTTGCGGCACAACAACGGCTATCTGCTTGGGCAAATCGGGAATGCCGATCAGACGCCGCTTTACTTCGACATGCCTGGCACCGCAACCGTCGAGAAGAAGGGGGCGAAGCAAGTTCGCATGCTGACATCGATCCACGGTAAAACTACAGTGACGGCAATGCTCTGTTACACGTCTGATGAGCACAAGCTTCCCCCATACCTCATATTTAATTGGAATACTCTCCCGAGAGAAGTCGTTTTTTCGAGTGGTGTGATCGTGCGGGCTAGCGAGAAAAAATGGGTGCGCGATGCAATCGATGTCTTACTTTTTAGGGGCGAAGCTCCTTAGGGCGTGGGCTGTGCGTCCCCTGTAGCCTGTATGTAGCTAGCCACCTCTAGTTTAGTTCTTGCAGTGTTCACTAGATGGCGGTACCGTCCCCTGTATGTAGCCACCTCTAGTTTAGTTCTTGCAGTGTTCACTAGATGGCGGTACCGTCTCCTGTATGTTAGAGTGCCTCGATGCGCGCGCCCCCGCTTAGAGTGGTGTCAGCCTTTGTAAGGGCAGGTGCCGCCTCCTCGGCCTTAGCGGCGGCATGGCCGCCATTTTGACTCCACCTCAGTCACTTCTGCGTGTTCGCTGCGCCCGAATAAATGTGTTGGCGCTCGCTTTTCTCCGGTTTAATGCGCTCGCTACCGTCACCGTAGCGGGTATTGCGGGCCGCAGGGCACTAATCATTGCAAAAACTCTGGAGGCTGTATCGTTTCCTAAGAGACCCGAAATGAAGGCCTTTTCAACAGTGAAAATCAAACATGACAAGTGGCATCCGACAAACAGATAATCCATTCACAGCGTAAGTTTCCAGCCAGTATTCCGCATGCATAATTTGTACCGGCACCAATTTCGTGTAAGCAACAGACACGCTGACGGCTGTATGCTTGACTCTCGTGTGCATGAATCGCGTATTTCACTTCGTAAACATTGCTTGCTGCTCTTGGTTGGTACTGTATCTGCCATTCATTCTTGGTTTCACTATGTGCGATGAGAACTTTATTATTAAATATACATTACACGTGTTTCTTTGCAGATGATATTCTTGTTTTTTTTTTTCGTAATATTCATTTGTGGGAATAAAGCTTTGCGCAGCGGCGGTGTCGTGCCCACTGAAGTTTAAAGAGTGTGTGTACGTTCCGGAATCACCATATGATCACGAGAGACGCGGTATACATTGGAGGACTTAGGAAATTTTGAACTGGTGTTTTTATGTAACTTGCACCTAAGTTTAAGAACTCCGGCATTTCATCTCCATCGAAGTAGGGCCACTGCGGCCGGAATTCGATTACCGACCGTTCGAGCGCCCAAACCATTACAAAGCCACACAGGTTCTTTCTTTCTACGATCTTTTCCTCGGTTTAGGTACGCCTTCTATGCTGGTGTAATGACCATTGTAAGAATGTGTGCAGTTCAAATTTTTTTCATTGTTCCTGTACTTCAAGTTTTCTTTTCGTCCTGTCTCGAATCATTACGCAATTGATGTTGTTATTTTAATCATTTACGACCACTGCAAAGCAACTAGTGACAGTACTCAGTGAATTCTGCCATGGAGCGTATAATTTGAATTGCTTCTGGCAGCGCTGCATTAATGCACAAAAATAAATTATTTCTACACTGGATAATAGGGGAAACGGCAGGCGTGTACACACACACACACACACACACACCGTCAGTATTTAAACTCTTTCAGCAGACAAGACGGGGCACCGCTGTGTAGTGAACACGCTATGTCGCAAAAAACAAAACAAAAAAAAGTCAAGTTGTGCGATGAGAAGATCGTGGAGAAATAGTTAATGCAATAAGAAAGGCGTCCGCC